GGTTTTCATAGTATTACCCAAAAATACCGGTAAAATACCGGTATTTTGCATACCGGTATAAGTCCCTGGATCGTGTTAACTTTACATCTGCAATAACTCCAGTACAATAAACCGATCACGGACAAGCACAAAGCACAATGTCTCTCAACCATTGAATCCATGGGGATTACAGCCAATGAGTGAGTACGCTATGTAATTTGAACAACCGATGTGCAAGCGGAGACTATTATAATCGTAACGTTAGAACATACATATTGCAAAATTATTTTACTAAAACAGAAATATAAATAAAAAAAAGATATATAGAATATTTACTGTAACTATCATCAGCACCCGATGCGCCAGGTTGGCTATTGAAGGAACATGTAAAGCCTAGAGTTTGGTTGCCTCTTACAATATCTACTGTGAAACTCGGCTTGCTCTTCATGTCACCAAGTTCGACTTCGTCCGCGCGAGGATCGACCTCTGCATCCGCTTCTGTTTCTACCGTATGATTCACATTGAAGGAAATATGAATTCTGAAAAGAAAATGTAACATATAACAGATAGAAATATACAGTATAGATATCTGGAACAGATATAAAAATTAAAAAAAAATATCGCCGTACGTATCGGTTCCTTCTTTCTTTTCAAGATTGACTTCGGCGCCATTCAAAGATACCGTGAAACCATCCAGATTTGTTGGTATTGTTTTCAGCTTCTGTGCCTTCTTCTCAGCTACTATTTCCTCCGCCAGAAACTCTACCAATTCTTTTTCCGCTAATAAAAAATTAATTCTGTTAATTGACAAATAAATTACATTTTGTTACAAGTTAAAATCTTTCTCATCACGATTAAATTGTGTGATATTCAGTGTATCTCTCATGTATTAAACTCAATTGTTTATTTTAACATCTTTAACCCTCAATCTGCACTGTGGGGTGGAATCTACCCCAGGCATTTTTGCACGAAGATATAGCTACGTAAATCGTTTTTTTAGGAAATTTTTTTCACTAACTTACAATTAAAAAATCATTAAAAAAACTATGACGTCTTTTTATAGATGCTTCACAAATAGTGTACATTAATTTTTTTTCAAGTTATCATAATAATTTCAGCGAATTTGATGATCATTTTTGTGGCTGGGGTAGACCATACCCCATGTGCGGGCTATGTGATTCCTATGAAGTGTGCAGGTTAAAGGTTAATGTCCTTGTAGCGACAAATGCTTATTTCGACGCGTATTTTCGTAAGACGAAAGGATTGTTATAAGAATGCTAAAATAAACAATTGTCAGGTACTCGTAATTGGATCTATATTTGAGATCGTCTTGTTTCGCACGTGTCTTATATATATGTATACGCATACTTAAGTAAAACTACTTTGTTTTTCTTAAGAAATTACTACACGACCTGCGAACTACTTATAGATTTTTACACTGACAACGGAATTTGAAACATAGCTTGCAAATATAATACAATATAAAACCGTAATTTCATCATGGTCGACCTACGATTATCACCACGTGATCATCTATTTCACGATATACGTACCAATATCAGTATGAATCAATACCTTTTGTATGTGATCTGCTGTAGCATCTGCGGCTGTGGACATCGTACAGTTTCAACGAGGAAGCGAGAGGCGCGACTTCTTGCCGGCACACGTTCCACAACGATCTCGCGGACTGATTGTTGACCGACGATGAGAAAACGCCGCGCAAAGTCGAGGCACGCAACGCGTTCCTAATTATGCTGGTCATCATTGACGAGTTTGAATAAACGCAAACGAAATTAATACAATTAAACCTCAGCGTGGCGTAACAGCAAAAATCGGCGACACGATAACCTCCTCCGAGAAGTTGCTGGAACGGCGCTCAGAAGAAAAATGGTCGTCTTTCATCAGCATTCGCAATCAGTGATGAAAGTTTTGGCAGGCTAGCACCAAGAGCACCAAGGTGGTGGGAGCCACTGGGAATACGCACACAGGCGAGACCGCCGTCCGTGTGTGTGACGTCATGCACACGGACGGCGGTCTCGCTTGTGTGCGTATTCCCAGTGGCTCTCACCCTTG